CGGACACGTCTCCGCAACAGGCGGCTGGATTCGCGCACACGTGACGGCCGACCCCGACGCCGACGGTCGTCGTGGTCGTCGCGGCGCCTGTCGTCGCGCCGAACTCGACCGCGGAAGCGCGCACTTTGGGCCTCAACAACGGCGACGTGGCGAACGTCTCGCGCTGTGTCGACGTCGTGCTGCTGGAGCTGCTGGACCCGGGACTTCCGCCCAGCCGGCCGGACGTCGCGTATGCAAACCCGCGGAACCGAAAGTGCGCCTGGTACGGGTAACCAGCGGGCGGTGGTAGCCGATAATGGTGATGGAAGCCAAGGTCGCGACGCATGTATGGATCACCTGGATCGCTCGCGGGCACATATCGATCGGTCGGCGTGTGCGCCGCGGGCGGCACATATCTGTCCACGTACCTGGACAAACGTGGACAAACCAGGCTTTCATGTTCTACTCGAAATAGACACCGACAGTTGGAAATAAAACTCGGCTTTTAATAGAAAGTAAGCTGTCATTGGAAATAAACGGAAATAAATCGTGCGCGGTTATGCATCACAAAAATAATAATTGATATTTGTTGCCATTTTTTAATATGCGTATCACAAATAAAATTTAGTGTTATATATAGCTTCATTTATATCTATTTAAGCTTCATTTGTATCATTTATATCTATTAATGTTTTATTACAGTGCAATTAGGGGAAAAGGAATAACTTGTTTTTCTCGGGATTATATAAAGTCGCTAAGTTAATAAGAGTCTTTTGAAAAAGAAAACACAGAGGATACTGTAAAATGTCTTCAAGATTGGTACATATTACGAGATATATAGCAATCTTTTATGACGTTGACTCTTACCTATCTGGGTAGAGCACTTCGGGGGGCGGCTGGGGCACATATCGTTCAACGGGGGTGTGCGCAGTTGGGGGCACGTAGCTGACGTTGGATGAGCAGTAAGTGCGATCGTTGGAGGACGTCGCGACGGCGTTGGCGCAAGAGATGGGTGTTATGCGGCCGGTGTACCTGTCCTTAGGCTTCGGCAGGGATAAGTACTTGTCGGCGACGCTGCGCGCCGGCGAATAACGATCAGCAGGAGCGTGAAAGCGATCAGCTCCGGAAGCGGCCTGAAATCGGTCGCCACTACCGCCGGCGGCAAAGTATCGGTCTTGCCCGAATTGATGATCGTTCTGACTGCCGACCGAGTAGCGATCGTAGCTCTGAACCGACTTCGAGACCAGATATTTCTCGACGGTACTCTTCGTGTTCTGATAGCCACCGCCGCGGTGGATATTCGTCGACGCCTCGGACGTCGGCGAGATTGACGTGAAGCGCTCGTTGGAGACCGATGATTGTGTACCGGTCGTTGTGTACGGCGAGTGATACCTGGAGCCTGAATTTCGATAGAAGAATTAGTACTGATAGCGATTAAGTAAAGGTTTGTCGAAACATGAAAAATCACCGAGCTATCGCAATTTCGCAGAATTTCAAACAAAACGTGGAAATTGTACAGATATGATATACATATATTCGATTTTTAATTCCTTCAATCTATCTATTTATTTTTTCTGAAAATACATTTTTAATAAATTGTCCAGCAAGGATTTAGGTCAAAAATTCCGTAGCTAAAAAAATCCTAATATCTATAGATTTGCGGGGTAAAAAATTCGACATTTAAAATCGTGGATATTTGATCAATGATCACCTAAATATTTAAAGCACTTAAATATTTAGGCGATCAAATATTCACGAAACCAAGAATAATCAATATCGAAATACATCTCAGTCCTTCGCTCGAGAAAAGCAAGACGCACACTTACCAGTCTCTGACGAGGAGGACGACGAAGAGGACGTCGGCGCCAGGAGACGTTCCGTGGAAGAGACGATGTAGCGCGGCGTCTCGGCATTGGATAGCCTGCCGTCGTGCGCGGGTGACGATCCGGCCAGGTATCGATCGCTGGAGAACCTGTCGATCGACCGCGATTGACTGCAACGCTGTAGCGCGAGGTCGTTGAAGCGATCGTTGCTGGACACGTATCGCGTCTGACTGCCGACTTCCGGGAAACCGGAGTACCGGCCGAAGTCGGCGGACGCTGGAGAGCCGATGGACCGATCGGTATACTTCTGACAGACCGTCTCGACGCCTCTGTCAGCGTAGAGGCGCCGATTTTGCTCGTTACTACTGGAGGAAGTTTGAAGTGACGAGCGGTCCGACGATGAATAGCGCTGATGCGCGCTCTCAGGATTAGGCGAATTCGAGAGGAACCTGCGGATATCCCAAAGGGGTCGAGTGAACGTGAAATATACTTCGAGGCATAAAAATAGAGCACATTACATTCGTAATTCATAAATGTGAATTATGTAATAAATGCAACAATTATTCGACATCAAAGATGTCTACCTAATACGTACTCATATCCAAAAACCCACTGACTGCGATAGTTGGCAAATCCGAAAAGTTGTTATTCAAAATCTACTTAAGCTGAACTCACCTCTCGGTGGCCGCCGCCATCGTCGAATACCGCTCATGATGTGTTGTCGCTGGTGGGTCCTGTCGAGGGTACCTATCGTGAATGGGCGACTCGCCCAAGTACCTTTCCGACTTGCCAACGAATCTCTCGGGCACCGGAGCGTGTATCGGCGAGGAGGATAATATCCTGTCCGCGGAAATGGCGGCGTAGCGAGTGTCTTTGGCATAGACCACGCTACTCTGGAGCCCGGTTTGAAGTCCAGCCTGAAGTCCCCCCAGGACCGGGGAGGATTCCGAGAGCAGGCGATCAGGTGGTCCAGCGTAGCGTTGTTGATCCTTAGCGTCACCTGTGGCCGACTGCTGATTGGCCAGCAACCGTTCGGCGGAGGCAAAGCGATCCTTGGCGGGTATCGACGATGCTGTAGCGGCACTGTCGGCGCCGTACTTGGGCCCCGGAGAATTGGGGGGCAAAATGCGATCAGCAGAAGGGTAACCAGCCAGGCTCTGGCTCGAGGCGTACTTCTCGCTCGGGCTGGGCGACAATGGCGGTGGCGGGACGAAGCGGTCGTTCGCCGGTGCCGGTGACGGCGGCGACGGAAACGTCTCCGAGACGAAAGAGCCCGTGAGCGCGTTCGCGTTCGCGTACTCGCCGGACCCGCTCGTGCTCGCCGTGTCGAAGCGCAGTTCCGGATTGCAGACCGAGTAACGATCGTTCGGGGCCCGTTGCTCACCGTGCAGCACGCTGAGATCGTTAAATCGCGCGAAGCGATCGGCGTGCCCGCCGCCATAGTGCCCCTGCAACGAGGACTGACCGAACGTCGAAGTCTGATAATGCCCGAAACGTTCGCAACTCGACTGCCGACCGTCAGCGGTGCACTTGGTGAAATCAATCGACGACTTGTCGGACGATTTCTCGTGCCGCTCGCCCCCCATCCGGCCCCCCACGTGCTCGCCGCTCTGGGCCTGATAATGTCCGAAACGCTCGCAACTCGACTGACGATCCTCCACGCACTTCGAGTAATCGATACAAGACTTGTCCACGGCCTTCTCGTGCCGTTCGCCTCCCAACCGACCCCCCACATGCTCGCCGCCCTGGGCCTGATAGTGCCCGAAGCGCTCGCAACTCGACGGACGACCCTCGCCGCACTTGGAGAAGTCGATCGTAGGCTTCTCCGCGGATTTCTCATGCCGATCGACCATTCGGGCCCCGACATGGTCGCTGCTTTGGGTCTGCTGATCCGACTGACGACGTTCTTGACCCGATTGGCTCGCGGTACTCGCGACCAAACGCAAGTCGGACAATTGCTGCTGCTGTGCTTGCTGCTTAAAGCAGTCGCTCGGATTGCTGGGACCAATCTGGGCCCCCACGCCGCCGGAATTCGGCGCGTTCGATCCAGGAAGCGGGGATGACGAGGACCCGTACTGCGCGATCGGGTGCTGGTGCAACAGGAGACGATCTCTTCGGCCATAGTCGTCGTCTGTCGGCATCCTGGTGGCCCGGGGCCCACTGTCAGGACATCTGCAATAAAAGCCGTGATCGGCGAACTTAAAATTACAGAGCAACACTAGTAAATGTTAATGTAATATAAATGTAAATAAAATATGGGTTCGCCTTTACTTATAATCTTCAACTTTCCAATCAGTCTCTTATAAAACCAAAGCATGGAAAGAGAGTTAGGCTCGAATCCGGGACTATGAGTCGCGACCTCTTTCACGCGTCACCGCCTCAGGACAATATTAGTCATGATATGTAAAATTAATCATTAAAATTGGGATGACACGTGGCTCTGTGTAAAAATGGTCAACGTGTAGTGGATAAGTTCCAGATTTAATCTCGACCCTAATTTCATGTGTATCACGGCACAAACTCGCCATATACGATCCGAGAAAAAGGGTTAGAAAACTAAAATAGCAGTCTATAAAAAGAATGTACCGCTCAAAGAACACTAAAATTTTTCCTCAGTGTCGAAATTCTATTACGAGATCCTGTAGCAAGAAGAAGATATTTAAAATCAATAAATTGGTGAATTAGAGTAAGAAATTTTTTTAATTTTGTTTTATAATATAAGACTTTAATCTTAAGAAAAAATGAAGCTAAATGAAAATCTAATATGTAATTGACATTTTTTTTCTTTACTTTTTAACAGCCACTGAGAACACCGCAGTATTATTTTTGCGACACGCAAACATTTCCGCCAATCGCGTAACTTCTTTCACTCTCGATAGACGCATTGCAGAAATGCAGAATAAAAATTCTGCATTTACTTTGTAACCAACTATTTTTCTATATTTTTCTCTCTTTTCATTCTTCTCCTCGGCTCGAAAACCGCCCGGTTTCCCTCTCGATCGTCCGTGCTTCAATTCCCGTGATGCATCGCGAGATGCGGCATTCTCCGACGGCGACTCGATATAAATATTCGATCGACCGCTTTTATTCATCGCGACCGCCATTCTTCTCGCATAGTAACAGCAAACGGTAAAACAAACGCGTCGTAAATTCCTTGCCATTATAATTCAAATTGATGGCAGAATTGTTTACAGAATTTTTGCATTCACCAGAAACGGTTTTTTCGATTCCTGTAAATTAATATAAATTTCCTATAATTGTTATACGTAATCCACTTATTATCGGACAAATTTGTAATTAACAACATAAGTTTATAAAGTAATTACGTTAAAGTTCGTCGCTTCACGTTTTTGACGAGATTTTTACCTTTTTCATCATCACGTAAATTAAATAGGAACAATTTAACATTTTGCAGATAAATTAATATGTGATGACATTTCGTGCGAATACATTTGTGAGGGAACAACTCCAAATAAAAATAATAAATTTAACTTTTAAAATAATAATTACAACGTATTCAAAATGTGACATAAAAGTGTAATATTATTAACATCTTTAAGCAAACAAAAATGAACAAAGTAAACAAACTAAATATAATTTATTTTTTATTTTCTTTTCTTTCTCTCTCTCTCTCTCGTGACATATTCTGTCGCTTGCGATATTTTGTATTACAGACAGTAAAGAGATTAAAGTACGTGTAACACGTACTTTAATTTCTACGAATTAACATAAATCCAAAAAGTGAGTTTATCGCGTGGAAACTACGAGGACAGATGTTCCCACGATTGTCCCCAGCGTAATATTTGAATTATCCCGAGAGCCCTTAGCCGAGCGAGGAAATATTGAGATAACGTGTGGGACGTCTGGTAATGGCGTTTGATTCGCGCTGAAAACGAACGACGAACCAAAAACGCGTTTGTACAACACGCTAAATTCGCTAATTGCGAAAATCGCCGGCGGCGCCGCGCCACGTTTTCTGTCTCGTTTGACCTAGAAAAAACCAAAGTGGCTTTGCAATGGAGATTCCATATACAAAACAATATAGAAAGAAACATGATGTCGAGAGAGGAAGTACCAATATTCTCTTCTCGTTACCGGTGTTACAATAAGCGATGTCTTTTAGTAATAAGAACAAAAGTAATAAGATGATGAGAAGAGTCGAGATACTTTTTAGAAGATTGTTTCATTTAGAAGATTATTCGATTTAAGCTCCGTAGAAAGCGCTATATGTACGGTGCTCTGCTCTCTATCATTTCGCATCGTCGGACGCCACTTCCGGCGCGTCCGGGCAAGCTGCCTATTCCTTCTGCGGAACGTCAAAGAAATTCGAGAGAGCCTCCCCTCGTTCGGCAGAACTGAATTTGACAAATGGTTTTATCCGGCAGTTGACGAGCGTACGTGCGCGCGACACGTGTCACGCGTGGGCCGCGTTCCCCGATGGCGGGCGCCCGCGCCGAGGGAATACACCATCCCGACGGAATTTTCGGAAGTCACGTCGAAGGACGTCGTCGCCCGTCGTCCCGGCGACGCCGGGCCTTCCCGACGCCGCGTGAAATATTTATGACGGAAAATTTTTCCAGGGCGATACCGGGCGAGATTGCACGGAGATGGCTTTTTGCACCGCGATAGAGAGAAATTCCAGCGCACCGTTCTAAGCTTCAAAAGTTAAATTATATTAAAAGAGATCAGAAATATTCATAGAAGAACGTACACTTTTTGAACTGTATACTTTTTTTACGAAAAAAGAAAATTTAATTCTTTTAAAATAGAAGAAATTTAGCATTATTTATATAAAATTTATAGACTTTAGCATTAGATTTAATATCCATTTCAAAAGATTTAAAAATTATTCAATTTTCTGCAAAAGTTAAATAAATTAGTAAAATTAATTAAAAATTATTTTCTGTAAAAATATATTTGGAAATTAATACGGTAATTTGAAAATAAAAGTTCCTCTCTTTCTCTCTTTTTTTTCATGTAAAAATACAAAATAAAATCTAAATTTTAAACAAATTCTATTTACTTTTAGCAGATCGGTATACAATGATTACGTTAATGAAATAAGTATAAATACGAAAATTAAGATCAATGAATTATATTACTTGATAAGAGAATTAGTGGAACTCTGATAAAATGCAGTATCGAAAGTGTTAAATGCGACATGAATCTCGATGGTTTTAGGTCAGATCGTTTATCGAACGCGCATCGCGACTTTTTTAATAGCGACTCGATTTGCCGAGATGGCGATTAATTCGTCCGACGAGTCGAGAGTTTCATCTTTTACGAGCATCTTTCGACGGTTGGCACGAGCCTGCCTGGCACCGATCCAAATTGAATCCATTTAAATACCTGGTCGCTGTGCCACCCAACCCCCGCTGGCGTAGCCCCCTAATTCCCAATTTGACGAGTACCGCCGCAACCCCTAAGCAAGGAACTGTTAATGCGTAAGCTTAGTCTAAAAATTGTCGATATAAAAATATTCCACTTCTGGCTTTTAAGGGGACCTCCTGGAGCGACGGCAATGACCGTTATTTATAGGTATGATTTTCTCCAAATTGGCTTTATACAGACTTGAAATCCCTTTAACACGTTTAAGGACGTTCTCCGGCTCCAGTCGTGCTCAACTTATATTCGTGCTTAAAAAGATGTTTATATACAAAATATTACATATAATAACATCTAAAAAATAAGAAATTGACTTCACGCGTGAGAACTCATGCGGCGTTGCCATCAAGTAACTGACGCCTCTTCTCTTCTGTCACTCTGAACCGAGCGAAAAATTCATCAAATCGCGTACTTTACACAAGTATTTCTCAAAAACGAGTACCGCAAGGGTATTGACACTTAATTGCATATTATTTCTATTTTTATGGAGCATCATATATCTACTAATTTTTCAAAAACATTTAGAGAAAACTTCTTTCACAATTTATTAAAATAGGAATAGGAATTACATGTTAAAAGTTGAAACTTTGAAATATCTCGATTTTTAATACCGCAAGAGGTATTGAAATTTATACTATCGCATAAAGCACACTTAAATTAACGTATATTCACAGTTTCAAAAAAATCTAGAGAAAATCGATTTTCCGGAGAACGACCTTAAAGTACATACATACAGAAATGACGGGTGGAGTAAATTGAAGTCAATTAAAGACTAAAAACTTAAAAAAATTGAAAAAATTATATTTGATACTACTTGGTGTTGTACCTAGAGCTGTCACTTCATAGAAACTTTCGTTTAATATACGAATTATATAGCTTATGTGCACAAATCGAAAGTACCTCACCAATCGGAATAGATCAAAGAACAACGTTGAATCATTGAAACTATAATATTAAAAGCCTAATAAGAAAGATTTTCACTGATCGCAGATTTTATGCATGCGTACACACACGCAGTGTACATACATGGCGTTGCAATCTGACAAGGATCTCGTTGGATAAGGACAGAATGATCAAAATAATCGATATTTTTAATTCCGCTTAGATCAGGACGCTTTCCCGTCGGAGTTCTGCCGTCACTTCATAGGATCCCCTTAATTATTCTCAATTCTCTTTTAACATTCAAGAAATGTATTTTAACGTAATCTAAATTTGTTTATAACAAGATCAGTGATTTATTATAAAGAGATCATTATTAATATTATTATAAGTCCTATTTTTCAAAGACTATATCGTTAATTTTTTATAAAATTTGTACCACACATTTTCTGACATTTTAGTATTTGATCACTAATTATTTTTTTAACTCTTTCAAATTTTTCGATTACCGAGACAATATACCTTTTTGCTCAATAATTACCGTCGGATTTATATTATCTCATTTATTCTATTTCATTTTCACATTTTCACATTGTAATGAGATTATTAAAATTATTGACAGAGAATAAAATTTTATCTGGCAGTCTTTGTAAATATACTTTTAATATAAAAAGTATATATTTTCTGAATAATTAATTATTTCTCTGAATAATTAAATTTATATAGAATAATTAAATTAAATTTGCGCGAAATCGTTAATTATATATTGAATCGCGAAAAAAAAAAATTATTTCTGCCGTTAATATTCACTAGAAAGAAAAATGTATCTTTCGATTCTGAAATTTCGTACTTCTGCGATGCGACACTACCGAACTAAGAAATTTTTTAATCTCGCAATCAAATCG